AACACGACAGAGCTTGCGTCTGTGAGAGAAAAGCTGAGTTAAATTTGTCGTTTTTCAGCAATGCCACTGGGGGCAGAGTTAAGCCAACTCAGAGAACTTTTTTCTTCTTTTTAATTAATCTTCTCCTATTACAGATCAAGAAGCAATGTGATCAAAAGCTGCTCATTCGAATGAAAACTGAATGCGTACCTTGCTCTTTAAACCTCGAAACCCAGTGCCCTGCTGGTTACACCAAAATTACCAATGGGACTGGGATACCAGATTGCAGGTATCTCTTCTGTCAGAGCTTTTCACCTTTATTGTTCTCCATGAATTAGGAAATATTAATTCGTATTACAAATACTCTATTCTATGCAATTTCTATGCTTCACCAACTCCAGAACTCAAGCTTCACTCAAAGTACTTTAAGCCTAAAGTTAATTAGCAAATGATATCAGAGGAAAATAAACATTGCTATCGATGGCCTATCAGATTTTCTTTTGAGTGATACCATAAAAATCACTTCCTTGTTTATTCTGCATACTTGATATCAATGATATATAAATATCATGTGATAAATATGTATTATCATATAAGTGATATTTATATATCATTCATATCATATGTTATCATATAAATAACAAAGTGCCAGACTGGGGAGGTGTGGGAGTGAAGGGCAGGAAGAAATATCTCAAAACAAATTTGAAATATTGCCTTTCAGATTAGAAAAAAAGAAAAGTACTATTTTATGGAAAATGTAACTATTTTGAGCTTACTTAGCATTTAAAGAACCTTGATATTAAATAATTTTTAAAATACTATTTCAAATCAAAACTTAGAGAAAACTTCTGTGTTTATGTTGCAGAAATGAAAAAAAAAAAAAAAAGATAAATATACTATGCAAAAGAAACCGCTCCAAGGATCTTTTTAGACCTTGATGTACAATGTATGTTTTAATGAAGAAAAAAAGCAGATTAATACAACTAAGCTTAAAGTGCCCTTGTCTGACACTGAAAGGAGAAGAGGAGGTTAAGAATTTAATTTTTCCCCACAAGAGGCTTTTAAGTACTTTAAAGCAGCTCCAACTTCTTTTCCTCAGGTATTATCTAGAAATTAAAACACACACACTTTTTTTCCCGGGATGTCGGCATCATTGTATAAAGGAATTTGAACAACCTGAGTGCTGCCAGGGACACTGGGGCCCAGACTGCATGGGTAAGCTCTTTTTTTTTTTTTTTTTTAATAGAATTTTAGTAGAAGTAAAGCAGTGATTTTTCTTCTTTTCAGGAACTAGTGCTATGAGAAGATTGCTCTTCACAGCTTATTATAGGAGTAGAAATAAAAAGCAGTTTTCAGCCAAAACTTAGAGGATTTGGAGAAAAACACATATTCAAACTTTCATTTAAAAAGAAAAATTCATAGAAAAATTCAAAACACTCACGAACCTCCTTGGTTTTGAGATTTTCAAAACAAACCATTTCAGTCAATGCCTGCAATGTGACTTTTCTTTTGGGAGGATCCCCACAATGGATTTTAAAAATTAAAATTTTCAAACTGCACGTTTAAATGTTTCATTTTAGGTCAAAAATACCCTCCCTCATCTGAGTCTAAAATATTTCCAAATTTCTTTAATTCTTTACTTTTGGATGCAAGGAGGGTCTTTTCTTTTGGCTAAACTTGAAACAGTTGTTCCCTTCAAGTTTTTTGAACCTCCAGTGAATACTGAAGGCCATTACTGAAGCAGGAGTAATCAGGAGTGCCTCTCTTCCAGCTGCCCCTTCCTCAGGAAAAGCCTTTCAGCATCTCCACGAATGCGTGAAACCTCAGGCTACCGAGGTGGGCATCAAGCCCCTCAGAGGAAGTTTCCCTGCCCAGACAGAGCACTTCCTCCTTTAATTAATGCTTTAGATAACGGGGTAAAGGTCTGGTTCAACTTCTGTGAAGTATTTTTGTCCACAAATTAGATAAAAAAATTTATTTTAGCATTGCCCAAGCTATGATTCAAATACCAGTCACTTATCTACTAAAGTAAAATAGTCAAACCCCAACTCAGAGCTATTTCTTCTATAGAAAAGATAGGTGAATAGCTGAGTACATAGTGTGTGGTCCTATCTTCTTCTGAAGATAACTACTTGTGTGGCGATTTACCATTTTTCCACCAAATGCAGCCTGAGTGCCTGGTAGGAGGAAGGCAATGCTACACGTGATTGTCATCCCATACTTCAGGGTGCTCTGGGAGGCCACAGAAAGGGGCATGGGTGTTTCTAGAGAGAGCAGAGCTCGCTGCCCCCGAGCCAGAGCCCTGCCTGCACTGCTGTGGGCAGGAGGCTGCAGAGGCGAGGAAGCCCTCTCTTCCTTTGGACAAAATTCCTGGCCCCAAAAAGCAAAGAATCAAGGTCTTGGCATTGTTTCTGCTGTCATCTGGAGGAAGAAAATAGCTCTTTGCATTATCGCAATCTCTCTAAGAGCATACAACATGCCTTGAAATGTTTGGAGGAAAGCCGGTCCTTCCTGAGGCCAGAGAAAAATCCCTGATTAGGAGTTTACTTCACATTTAGCACCTGATGGCAATGACAAAATTAGGTCTTAAATAGCACTCCGACTTCCTTAAATGATAGCACATGCTGAAACACACAGTGTGAATGAAAGATGTTTTGTCCCCTTTCCTCCCCACGAAGCGCCCCAAGCCAACAAGCTGCACACCCATTCCTCTGTAAAAAGGCATCAGGGAAAAAGTACAGGGGAGAAAAGGTCCAGGGGAAAAGAACACAGCCTTTTAGTACTGCCAGTATCATCCAGCCACAGATGCCAAAGCTGGTGGAGCTCAGATGCCCCACGTGTGTAACTGATGGGCTTCAGCGGGAGCTACTCCCTACCCCAGCTCAGGTTCCCGCTCTGGGCAAATATTTGCATGGCTCCAAAGAAAAGCCTGGGTACCAACTGAAAGGTGTGCGATATGAGCAACTAAGTAGAAAGCACTGCAAGAATAAAGGGAAAAAAAGTGAAAAGGAAATTAAAAGGCCAAGAGGAAAGATAATAAACATAAATCTTTCAAATTATATGTCCAAAATACATCTTATTTACAACTTCTACCCACTGCTCAGCCTGCAGGGGTAATCCAAGAAGAGGCTGCATTTGAAAACACTTGGGAAGTGCTGCATTAAACTCTGTGAGGCAAAAAAGATAGATAGATTTAAGCTCTTTTGGCCTAGGTATAAAGATTAGGCCTTCGGTCTCTGACAACTGTAAGAGCTAAGCAGAAACATCTCTTTCTAACTACTTTTCAAAAAACATCCTCAACAGAAGCGAAGGTCTCGCTCCTCCCCGGTACGGGGGTGGCAGCAGGTGACTGTGCCAGCATCACTCCAGTGTCCCGGCACTGCCTCCTGCGGCCCCGCCAGCTGGGGGAAGCGCTTTACCTGCCTGACCAAACTCGTACGACAACGTGGCAATTTGCTAAACTTCTGATAAAGCTGTCCCTTGGCGGTGGTATCAAAACAAGAGACAAGAGGAAGCACAACAAATATCAACTGCAAAAGAAAATGTTTTGTCTGCAACTTTGGAGTATGCTTCCCTAGAATTTATACCATAAACTGAGTTTTCTCATGATTTCTCTATCTTTGCACATTCAATAAAAGCATCAGCGCAGTTAAAATTGTTTCCATTCAGAGCAAATATTAAATAGTTTGCACCTGTGTCAGTCCTAAAGATGAGATTTTGCTATCACATAGTAGCCAAAAAACAAGACTCACTAAAAGCCACTTTAAAGATTAAAGTACATGTATTTATTACTTTACCTCATTTCTGGTTATTTCATCTCAACTCTTAATAAATCTTTTTATTTCAGCACGTATGAAATAAACTGCACTAAAATGTTCATCTTTAAATTCCGTGGTTTTTTTCACAAGAAGCTTACTCAGATCCAACAGACTTCACAGACTCATCATTAAGGAATAAATTGAGAAATATTGACAAATTGATATAAAGCCAAAGCCTTTTCTAAAATTCAGTGTATACATAGACACATCCACTTATTTTCTCATCACTCTGCCCAAATCAAATTCATTTTCATTAAAACTTCCCTATCATTTAAACACTCTAAAACAGGATTAAGTTACTCAGTGGGAGCATAAATGCAGTGCTGCCCATCTCAACCCACACAGAACAAACTAAGACTCTTTATAAGCAATAAATCTACCAGTAAGGTACAGCAGAGAACCTATGAAGGCAGTTTGAGTTTGCTACATTTAAATACCACCTGCATCAGGATTATGGTTCCTAATAGGAATTACAGTTACAGGAAGAAAGGGCTTATGGAGGGGAGTTGAAATAAATCATTTCCATGGAGAGGCTGCAAAACTATAAAAAATGAGGATATCCCTATGGGGGAGAAAAATGACAGAACAATCCGACTTAAAATATGCATTTCCTATAGGCAACCTTTCAGAAAAGATTTGAATATTGAAAAATTTCAACCAAAAATTATCTATGTTGATTTGAAAATGCAGTTATTGTTTCTTAGCCTCTCCTGCTGGCTGGAGTTTTTCATCAGACTCTGTCTCACCTGGTGTACCACTGCCTGTAATCAAGGTCTTAGCACCTCAGGATCTGAAGAGTATAGCACATCATTGGCACACAAGTTTTACTAGTCACCACAGCTCATTGGACAGAAGTGGGTTATGAGATACCCAAATTTCAATTTCCAAGATCATTTGAATCAAATATCACAGTCTTATGGGAGGTAGTGGGGAAAATTAAAAACTTTCCACATAAAGCAAATGCAACTTGTAGGGA